ATCCACAGGTTTGGGAAACACGCCCCACATGTGGTCCACGTCACCATGAGCTATGTCTACTTTCTCTTTCCTCCATTCATGAACCCCATTATATACAGCATCAAGACTAAGCAGATTCAAAGAAGCATCATTCACCTATTTTCTGTACACAGCAGGGCTTGAGCCATTTGTTATGTCTGGAGAGCTTCATGATTTTTTGGACCTTTCCTGTTATTGGAAAGAAATCTTGTTTTACTTATACTTTTTTCATTCAGAATTAAGAGAAACTTCAGTAATGCTTTAGGTATATTTTACGTCATATGAAGATGAGTGTGAATATGTCATCATCTTACCCCCTCTGTCTTGAATCTATATATAGACAATGATGTTGGCCTAATAGTGACAAATGACAGTTTTCATTATAGTCACCATGAAGAAATGATAAAGGTTTAAAAAAATCAGATTTATGAGAAGCAAAACAGCACATATCTAGATTTCTAAAGAGTTTACATCTAAAATTTGTTTTCCATGATATACCTGAATATTTATTATCAAAAGGAAACTGACAGAGACTAACAACAATAACAACAAACACATTTCCCATCTGGCAGTGGAAGTCAGACTCCCTAGCTCCTTTGTTCTTCTTCCTTCTGGCTGCCCAACAGCCTCCTAATGTTTTTCTTCTAAGATGACTGATTATACTCAGATTTCACCTCTTGTTCCAATTTTCTCCCATTTATTATTCACATGAAAGAACTCAGAATTTTAAAAAAAGTCATTAAATTTTAAGCTAATCAGGAAAACTGGCCAAAGTAATAATATGATATGAATAATAAGAAATTCTTTTCTCATTCAGTTTATTGGTACAATTTAGGTATACAGTACAGGTATATTCATCATTGGGATCTTGTACCTTTTCATGACAGGTCTTGGTTCTTATTTTTCCTCATATTCCTTCCCTGCCTTAGCCCCCTCTTCCCTTCCCTATTTACAAAAACTTTATTTCCATCTTTTCATTTTCTCATATTTTTCCTTAGAAAAAGAAGAAAAAGATTTTTTTTTTACTAATAGTATATTGTGATCCTTTGATTTTTTTTCTAACTTCTGCTAAGTCTGTAATGATGTTTTTCTTAACTGAACCACTGTCAACTACTTCTTATTTATGTTATTGGAAATGATAACTTTTGCATCTACTGTAAATTCTTTCCGGGTGTTTGGACCTGGTTTTCCTATTGCTTGCAATTTAAAACTGTGCTTCCTTTTTTCTTTGAACACTGCTGTTTCTTCTTATCTAAACTGTCTCTCCCATTCATCCTTCACCCTAAAGTTATATCTTCTGATTAGAAGCTCATGCAGACTCCACAAAATAACCACCTCATCCTAAATTCTCTTTTTTATATAAGAAATCTCTAATATTAATGTCCTATGTAGGAAATGAGAATTCCTATAATATCGAGATATATGAAAAGATATCTTATCACACACTGAAAGCTAAATGCAAAGTATTCTTCCAAATTAAGTGTGCTATTTCAATACTAAAAACTAAGTCTCCAAGTAAAAACTGTCCACTCCTGTTTCTTTCAGATTCAGTCATTGTGCAGGTAATTATTGCAAGCTCTTGAAAAGTTGAACCTAGCTATTTTATTCATTGTCACTTTGCTATTACTCACCTTTGTTAATTGGTGTGAAATTCACATCGTTCTAAAGTATAGACTGCAAATAAGGAACCTGTATCCCTATTGAGCACTACAGGTGTATTGGGAAGAATAATTATGTTTAGCATTATCAAAATGCTCAGCAGATGAAGTATTTTTGTAAAAGTTACAAGTGCAAGATATTCAGTAGAAAAGGGGATTCCGAAGTTATTTGTATGATGTTTGCAGAAAGACAGCCTAAAACAATAGTTATCTGGTGCAAATTTGGCAATAATGTCCTAAAAATGGGTATGTTTCAGAATCTTAAGAAACAGAAGTATCTACAAGTACGTAAGAAATGATGGGATCTAGTTGGAAGCCCACATTTATTTATGTGGTAGTGAGGAACACCATAGTGTGATTATTACCTATTGGACTTTAAGCAACCCCTAGCAACCGTATTAATCAAGAAGAAAGACCCAGGGTGACTATTGAAAAAATTACTTTTGTTAGTAAGTGTACATTTATAGATTTTATTCTAAATAAAACTTATAACCTACGTATTTCTTATTGTAAATTCATACTTTGAAAAACTTTTCAATTAATATTCAACATCTGCCCACTGAACCAGTCATCTGTGAACACTTAAGTATAAAGAGGGTTCTTCTACAGTCTATCCTCTGAGGGTTCATCACGTGGCACTGCGAGTCTCACTTTTCTGAACCTGTGACATCCTTCTGGCCTCTGCCTTCAGCTTCTCATCTGTGAAGGAAGGGTGTTATTACTGGACCTGGTTTTCTCCGTGTCTCTTAGTTAGCTTACTGTAGAATTGATTCAGGGCAACTCCCCCACTCCCTCAGACCATTTTGTATGTCACACACAAGTCTCTAGCCCTGGTAGTCACGCACCTGCTTTTTATCACAATACTTTTTGTCTTTTCAAGATTGTCATACCATGGTGTTCATATGGTGTACAACACTTTATGATTGATTTCTTTCATTCATCTTAATGTCATTAGGATTTAGCAGTTGTTGGGTTGATCAATAATTCATTTTTTCTTTAACTAAATAGTACTCCTTACAATGTGTATTACAGGGGTGAAACTGTTTCCCTATTTTCCAGTTGTTTTCAGTTTTGTATTAATTTGCGTCTCTACTCTCTTTTGACCCTCCCACCCCCGCCCATGGCCATTCCTGAGATATTGCTCTCAGCCACACTACTCCACATCAACATTTCAAATGCCAGAGCCTTCCAACTTTCTGGCTTCATTACTCTCCCTTTATAGAAATCAGTCATATCTTCTCATGTCGGTGTAATATTTAACACTCTCCTGTTTTCCTTACTCTCTGTTTATCTCATGAATATTCCCTCATGGGATGCTCTCCCTTCCTTTATCTGGCTTTGGACTGACTCTGCTTACTGTGTTCCCAGGGCTTATCTCCTCTGATAGTCCACCCACCTCAGACTCTTTGCATCAGTATCAAATGTTATCACTGTGAAACAGCTGAATACAACAGTATGCTAGACACATGGGGGACAGGAAACAAAACTTGCAAAATTAATTGTAATAGGATAAGCATGAGTGTTACACTTAAGATAAACATTTAACTCTAACTACAAAGGGGATATACAGGTACTTTACTAAGGTGGTTTGAAGTATAGAGCCTGGGTCATTACATGAGTCCAGGATATAATGGTAAAAGAGGGAAATAATTTCTGTATGTAGCTCTTACCGTTACTAGTCATAGTACTGAGAACTTAATGAACACTTTTTCCTACTTCTCACAAAAGAGCTTCATGCTTCTGTAATGAAGCAACTGAAACTTAGCTAGTTTATCCAAAATCATACAATGTGCAAGTGGATCTAGAAAGAATGTGTAGAAGCTTTTCTATTTCCTGTGCTCATCAGATAAAAACTGAGATTGAACATTCAGCCCATCTATCGGACCTTATGTGCAACGTTCATTTCTGCGGCCCTCCATGTTAAAATGGTCGAGTTACTCAAACTACACATCCAAAAGTTTATGAGGGCAGATGGCTCTTTAAAAAAGGAAGAAAATTGGCAAGGTTATTCATTCTTGCACAGAATACTTATTTAAAAAATAGGGTTTTGGCTTCTAAACACTTCTAGACTAAGCACATTTTAGGACATCTGGGAAGAGGAGAGGATTATCTCACATATTCCTCTAAGCAGTGTTTCTCTCCATAGGTGAGTTTCCATAACCCCTCTTCCCTTTTTGGCATAGGTCTGCTTGGCACTGCTTGGTACTATATGGATATAAAACAAGTATCTTCTCTTGGAATAATGTTATTTTTCCACAATATCTCCTTAAAGAACTCACTTTCCCTGAAAAGAGATTCATTTTTAATTCTTGGAAATATAACATCATTCTTGTATTTCACTGTCACCCACATATCACATTCTGTCCCTTTTCTAGCTCCCCATACCCTCAACAGATGTATCAGGACAATTTAAGGTTAACAATAATAGCAGCATTATTGGCAGTAGCCATGATACAAAACCAACCCACATGATCATGGATGGATAATAGTGTGGTGCATATACACAAATGAAATTTTATTCACCCATACAAAGAATAAAATTCTGTAAGTTTCCAACAATGAATGTCATTATATTGCATACATTAAATGTACCAATAAAATTAATTTTGAAAAGAATGAAATTCTGTCACGTGTCAATATGGATGGAGCTGGAGAACTTTAGCTGAAATAAGTTAGGCACAGAAAATCAAATACCAAATATTCTTACTTATATGTAGAAACTAATTTTATCATGCAGAAATAGAAAGCAGAACAGCAGTTACTAAAGGAAAGGAGAGGACATGGACATGGATGTTAACAAGTGTTAACATTCATAGCTGTGAATAACTTCTAATGATCTCTGACACAGTAGGGGTCAATACCTGTCACACAATTGAATATTTCAAAAGAGATAGTCAAGAGAATTTCAGATGTTCCCAAAACAAAGACATGATCATGTCTAAGGGAATGTATATACCACTTGACCAGGACAGATCATATGATGCAAAAAAACACAGTGTAGACATATATGGAAATATAATACCACAGTCCATAAATAATATGCATTTATTTGCCAGTAAAAATCAAACATACTCTTAAAAATTTTAAAAAGTAATAATAATAATAACAATGGTAATAACAATAATATAACCATTATGCCTGATACTGTGCACAATGAACTATTGATATAGTAACTCATTTAATATTCACAATAACTCTAGAAGCCGGATTCTATTATCATATCCTTTCTACAGTATGAAACTGGGCACAGAGCCATGATACAATGTCTTATGATCAAGTGGCTGGTAAAAAGCAGAATGAATAGTTTGTCTCCCTAATATATAATAGCTATTTATATATTACAAGTATATTATAAAATATGCAAAAATATACCACAAACATTTACATATTATAAATGTAAACATTTTTATGTAACAAGTATATAAATATATAAAATAATAATTTACAAGTTATTTATTCTAAAATAAGATGGTTTGGGATGAGAGG